TTCTATCTAGAAAGCTTGGTGAAAGGTGAAGTAACCTCTAAAATTTCCTTCATTCTGCTGGAGCGTCTCTTTCTGCTCTTCTGCGTCCAGCTTCTCCCACTAACTGATTAGGAATCGTAATTTACAGGCTAAGGAACACGATTTGTGACACACAAGCTTCATGCAAAAGACCTCCACAAGGTTCTCAGGTTGAACCACATTGAATGACTAACGATTGCAAGAAGTTCGGATTGGTAGCAGGACTATTTGATTGATTAAAAGGGTAAGACAAGATTTGGTCTGAAAAAATCAGTTCAAAAAAAGTCTGGAAATTCACTTTTATCGACTCACTAAGAATTCTTCGAGTGATTCTTCCACAGACGATTCTGTTACTCTGACCTGCTCCAGTCAATGATAGAAAGATGAAAATTGCATCCTGCTCCAAATTTGCATCCAGACGACGGCTTCATTTGGCAATGGTTAAGTCAGGCAATAACGAGTCCAAACTTCTGGGGTAATGGTAATATTGACATCGCGTGGTTTTTCTTTATTGTCTCAAAGCAAAAATTGAAGCCATATCGTTTGTCCTAGCCATTCCAAACATTAGTTCGGATCATAAGGGCCCTCTCGTCCCGCGAATGACGGCAGTGGCCTAATTCCAGGATTGGATTGACCATGAGCATGGTTAGCAGTACGAACTCTAAACAACAGTGAGGTCTTTCGTGGGCGTATGTTATGTCCTGGATAGGGCGAAGGCGATGTGGTGTCAAAGGAAGCCTTACTATAAACTCGTGGTCCGGTATTCAAAATCCCCGATTGTTACCAATCTAGACCAACTTACCACTCCATCTCACCGGGGTGGGTAATTAATTGGTACCAGACTCTTATGGGAGGATAAAAGCACTGACTTGAACCTGGCTAGCCACCGTAGGTCCGCTAGCCACATACGCATTCGAAAAGAAACTACGATCCTGAGTGAAAGGCAATGCACGTCGCATGCTCAAAAAAGGACTAGTTCATGCCAAAGGCTTTCCTTTCTTGCGTGCCGTCTGAGGTTAAATCGAGCCATGCCACGAATAATCTTGATGATTTCATTATCCTCATTGTTGGGTATTGCTATTCCCATATGGGCCTCAAGAAGAGAGGCGTCTATACGATTGGTAGCTGATTTCGGTAGGCGTCTATTTTCGTGCGCCCAGGTTTCTTTTCATTGTTTTCTTCTCCCCACGCGACAACACCGCTGTAAAGCTGCTTATCGTCAAGAATATGGTGCAAACAATTCAGAGTTCACAAAACATGGCACGTACACACTGTACCTTCCATGATCACTGGCAAGGCCGAAATACTCTTTGACTCTGAAAAAATTCTGGAGGAATCGGCTTGCATCTGCACGGTAGACGTGAGCCAACTTCTAAGAGGATCATAGAATTCACCTCCATTCTATGGTCACTCAACCCCCGTACACAATCGTCGAAGCCAAACTGAAGTCCCAGAACTCATCCTTTTGCACCTGACCCATTGCAGCTGAACGGCACCTATGAATGAAAAGAGTGATTGACCTGATTCTATTCAAGGGTGACAGCTATTGTCCTATCCAAGCAATGAAAGGCGCCGTCACACTTGACAGGCTGCTTGGCCCCACAGACTCATATGGTCATATGTATGTGCATATAT